ATTCCTACCTGTAAAAAATTGAGCTGTGAATATTTTAATAGATTATTGTCATCAACAGTGGATACTGCAGGAAAATCCTGGCAGGTAAAAGAAACAAGGGTTTTGTAGGAGAGGATTAGGGGTGTGTCAATGTTGGTTTTATCTGACAGCCTTTCAAATCAAAGTCTACATCTGTTTATAGGCACTTTGTTTCTTGTATGGTTTCTCTAGTTTATCAGTGACTCAGAAATACAGGAGTCTTCTGTGGAGTATTTAGAGGGGGCTTAACCTATGCATTGTAAATACTTGTGCTAATGAGGTTTGAAGGAAAGAAAATCAGATTACTTATCTATGCTACTACTTTGCCACTGACCCTGACAATTTAAGGGTGATTTATGATTTCTGGCATGCCTTCCAGGCCTCTTAGCAGAGTGCTCTGAGCAGAATTGCCCTGAAGTCCTTAGAAGTCTCCACAGAACTGGACTGAGAGCCATTTCCCCATGTCTGTATCAGGTATCAGTTGCAGACAGCATGGAGAAACGCTCTTTCAGCACTACCTAACTCATGCCTTTCTTTTACTTCAGTTATTTCCTTACTATGGCACTGAAATCTATGTGCTTCACCTTTTGCCAGGACACATGAGCCAACCTCACACACATCCTGGAGCTTGTTCCTCCTGTGGAGCATGTTAGTTCAGTGGTTACACAAACATATGATTAACTGTATTCTTTCCAGAAGAGCTGGGCATGTGCATCAAGTAAGGATGTGTTCAAGTACCTTGTGGCTTCCAGTCAGAGTGGAAAATGCTTGGGCAGAATTCAGTTCTAGACAAGCTGTTGTCAAAAATCTGTTCAGCATGTGTCAGCCAGCCAGACTTGTGACATGTTACTGGGACATGGTGCTGCTTCAGAACATTCCAAGGTAAAAAGACAAAACAGTGGTAGCAGCTGGTGATGATTTGGGCAGCTCCCAAATTTGTGGTCACAAATTTACCTGCCATTATTAAGAAGGGATTAGTGCCCTAGACTTTCTCCTCAAGACATCCTTTTTTCTGCTGCTGGTTTGGTAGAGAAAAATGTATTCTCACTCTCCTTCCTGTGTCTGGAGGGCAGACAGATACCTGTCACACTGTCACATCCTGCTAAGATAGTGTGTAGTGGCAAACCAATGAGCTGACCAGTGTGATAAACCAGTGTCTGGCTCAGCTGTGTTTATGACAAAAACATGAGTATTCAAAACAAATGAACTTTTTGGACTCTGTGAGAAAGAGCATCTTGGGATTTGCCTGCTTGGCAGTTTAGACTAAAGGTGTGAAGCACATGCATAAACTTGCCACTAAATATCTTTCTTCAGAAGGAAATGGCTTTACTTTGTTGTACAGCAAACATTACTTCTGAATGGGAGCATTCACTCTGACATCTGTGCATTCATTGACCTCACATCTTTAGTTAGGGACCTTAACTTTCCCAAGTGCTGATGTGACAAGCTCTCAGGACAAATGATGTTCCCAGTGAAATAAAAATTGGTACAGCTGCTATCAGTGACTTGTAAGCTAGGAGTTAGATGGAAAGCATCATAAATTCATCTGTGCCTTGCAGGCAGGATCATATGCTTTTCAACTGGCGTAGCCAAAAATGTGTTTGTACATAGATATCATTCCTTCCCAGTGGCAGGCATTGAACAGATTCTGTTCTACATGCCGATGGTCTGTGAGATAGCAGGTGTTTCTATATCTAACGTACTTCAGCTCTGAACCCAGGGCTGTTATTTTAATGTGGGATCAGGACATATTCATTCCAAACTCTATGACCCTCACTGCCATAAATACTTATTTTTTGTTGTTGTGGTTCTTGGTGTTTTGCACTACTTTAAAGAAAAAGTCACCATTATAGTCTTCTGTATTTGATTCAAGTGACTTTCCATACACTACTTCTTTGGGGTTAATGATTTCTCCTTTTTAAGGAGGACTGATTACAAAAAATTGCAAACAAGTGTTGGTCTGAATCTCATTCAGTCAAGTGAGTGTGTTGCTATTGCTGCTGGGTACCTGCAGAAAAGGTAGTTATGTATGTCAGGGGGACCTAGCTGGTAATCCTAAAATGCAGAGTTCAAAGTGTAGACTTCTTAGCTGAGTTAGTGCATAGCTTGGAGAATCCAAATTACAATATACAGGGGTAGAAATATACGGGGAGAAATGGGTAGCATGTACTTGCAACTAACTGACAAATCTGAAAGCACTTGAATTAATTAAATGCTCTCAATCATCCCTGTCAATCATATCCAAGGGTCATCTCATTTATGAAAAAATATAGTTTCCTAAGGTGTTCTCAAGGTGAATTTATTTATTAATCCAGTGTCCAGCCCCATTTGTGTTACATCTGAAGCTACTGTGCTACTGAAAAGCCAGGAATGACAGTAGAAAGGCTGGTGGTAAAGAAGTGATGAGGTAAGGGAGATTATTTCCAAAATTAATTTTTAGTTTAACAGTCTAGGGCTTTCTGAACATGGTGCCTGTCATGAAGCCTCTGTAGTCTCTGAGGATCTCCCTGTTCTTCTGGAACACTAGATGACAAGTAGTCGCAGCTCTGCTTCACCTTGCCCCTAGTTTACCTTGTCAGCAGATGTCTCTGAGGATTCAGTTTCACTCTGTTGGGCAAGCAGAAATAGCAGCTTACTGTCTCCAAAAGAGGGATGTGAAGGTCCCTCATCTCAGCCCTGCTTTCTGCTGGTGCTGCAGTTCTGCCTCTTACCTTGTTCTACTGTTGGCAGCTGTTGGATTCCTCTACAAGCCAATTTAGTTCCTTAAAAGCAATAAGGAAAAAAAAAATGGAAGAAGATTAGGAAGTATTTTTTTGATACTGCATTAGTAACTAGTGTGATTTAGCAAGACTGAAACTATGGACCAAGGTTTTAGGTGTTGGATACAAGCTGCCCATTCTCTGTGTTTTGGGATGTTTTAGATCACCTCTGGTGCCAGTCTGTAGGTTGCATTGCCACCAGCTAGACATTCAGGTTGGGGTGTGTTAGGTGCTTCTGGATGTGCTTCTGGAGCACATCTTTTGGTCTGTTTCTTCTGAAAACCTCTGGTTTGTGTGCTGTGAAACTGTTCTGTGGTGCAAACCTGTGTGGTAAGGAGGTATAGTCAGGCAATTTGTTCCTAAAGAAAACCTCTGAGCTGAAGCATGAATAGGGATGGAGCCTTAGTGTACTGAATCAGGTCTGCAGGGAAAGAGGGCTCAGAGCTGGAAGAGTAGTAATGCCCTGCTGTCCTTTGACAGGCTGTGGATGTGCTCAGCTGGGAGCACACACAACCTACCTGCTGAGATACCACCCAAACCCACATTTCTGGTGCTCACCTCTTCATAGCCTCATGATGTTGCCCTGAAAATGAAAACCTTCTGATAATGTTTTCATAGTTTTAGTTACTTTCCCATGAAAGTTCTATAAACATAAGTTGTTTATCACATTCCTTCTCAAAGAAACATCTTTTGATGGACATTTCACATGACCAGTGTGATTGGGAAAGTGGGAACTTAATTATCCAATCCCTGGTCATTGTTGAGAATCTATAAGTACTGGAGTCAAAGAATAAAGATTATTGGTTATTTCCTGTTCTAACGCTGAAAAGTGTTTGTGTGAATCATTTTGTGTCCTTTAGTGACATGATGCCAGCCCTCTTCTCTTCCAGAAGCTGACTGGTTTGCAGCAGAACACCGTTGCACACTTTTCACACCATGAAAAGCATGAGGGTTTTTAGCTAAAAGCTATAATTTTCTTGATAATTACAACGTGAATTGTCTGTACAAGAAAATGATGCAGGTGAACAAAGATACCCAGTTTGCAAACAATCAACCACATTTCTTTCATGGATTGGTGCAATTTTTGGGCATGCACATGGTTAGCTGTGCTTGATAGGATTGTTGGTGGACTAAAATCAATCCTAAAAGCCTACTTACCACACCATACTTTTGGAAAAAGCTGAGGGTGTGACTCTCAACTAATATTAGTGGTATTAATGAAGAGTAAGCTCCCCAAATGTAAAGCAATGGTCAGGATTTTAAACAAGTAATCTGTTAGCACCAAAATTGATGGAGCATGACTTCTTACGTGTTATATCTTGGGACTGATGACCACACCTTTGTAGTGAGTCCTGAAGTCTGTCAGAAGGATGGACAGTAACTTTCCTAAGTGCAGATTCTCCTACTTATAGAAATATATGGGTATTCTCCAGGAGGATAAAGCAGTCTTCCCATTCTGCCTGTCTTCACAAAAGTTATGGTACCTAAGCTTTTTTAAAGGTGTCTGCTCCTTTGTCCCATGTGGCTGGAATGGGCCAACACTTCATCAAGTTATAGGGTGATTCCATTGGCCTCATTTCCATAGAAAGCTAGATGGGAGCAGGTAGCCAGGGGTAAGCTTCCAAAACTATTTCAAGGTGAACCAGAAGCAAAGAAAAAGACACAGTCTTTTCATTGCAACACTTACCTTCCTGATACCTGCCTCCTGAGTGGGGTCCCAAACCCTTTAATGGCTCCAGTTTGAGGGAGGAGATGGGCATTGCAGAACTGGATTGGAATTCTGCACAGGAGCAGATAGGGAACAGTGTCCTGGGAAGCACTTAGGGAGTATAGACCTCAGTTGAACACAGGGTTTTTGAGATCTCAGCCATGTGCTTTGTCACTTGAGTTATTTCATGGATGTTCCAAATTAATAGGTGAACTTTATAGTCAGGATCCCAGTCTGCAGTTTATATACCTGCCTAAGGAATTTGAAAATTTAACTGGGACATGGGAAACCGATTTGATTTGGGAGAAAATATTTACTAATCAAGGTTTGCAATTGTCAGTTTTCTGCTGGGTTTTAATTTGCAAAGCCAGATGTCTCAGGTGACTTTAATCTTCTTGCAGATATGTTTCCAGCATTGTGTTTTGAAGATAAAAGATTTTTTTGTGTTTGAAATGAGATGTTTGAAAAATGAGATGTGTTTGAAAAGAAATGTGTTTCTTGCAGGTAGCTTAAAAATGGGTGCTCACAAAGAAGTTCAGACATCAGGAGAGCTCAAATGTGAGCTGTGTGATTTACCAGCCCCGTACACATACTGTGGGTGGATACCACCAAACTCAGTCAATTGTGTAAGTTCCCTCTGAGATCACAGACTTCATTTCTGCTATGAGCATTAGAATTCTTTGTAGTGTTCATTGCATGAGCCCAATAATGTGCTGTACTGACCCTGAACATGAAGCTTGGTACTTAAAGTGATCTCCTTTTTACCAAGGGGAAAGAATGTTAAAAACTGGCAGTATTGGTAGGAAAGACAACAATCAATTTTTGTGCCCTGCTTCAATAACATGCAAAAATTTGTATTTAACCTATTTTCTAGCTCCACTGACAACTCTACTATACCAATATTTTTTTGCTAGGATACTGCTGGCTTCCAGCCTGGTATTTCTGGGAATAGCCCTTCCCTCACTGTAGCCTCTCTCAGGTGAGCAATACATACACACAGCATGAATGAAATATTGTGATGAATTGGCATTTTAGAAAAAGTGAGGAACACCCATGGAAGTTAGGTTTCTGAGAGAGGCTGCTGGAGGCTGCTGGGAGTTGTTTTTCTGCTTGAGACCTGGCCAATAGCTGGCCAGTTCTGAGAATTGACAGTTTTTTCACTATTAAAAAAGTGAGATCAACTCTGTGAATAACACTTTATAACCTTTTAAAGCTAATGCTTTAGAACCACCACAAATATATATAGCAAAAACACTTAAGAGCTATTTGGCATGATGTGGAGTTTTGAATAGCAGTGCTTTTTTGTGTGGATTGGACAATCCCTTGTCAGACTGTATGACATCAGGGTGTATGGATGTTCACTATGTATTTATATTTTCAGAGACCAAAGCCTTTTCTCTCTCTGCTAAGTTGGGATAGTTTGCCCAGAAATTATGCAGTTACAGCTTTGTTTGCAGACATTAAACTCCCCATAAAATAAAGCATTTTGCTTTAAATGCATGAGTAGCTTGGCGGGGGCCATCATGGTCAACAAATCCATCAAGCAGACATGGTCAGGAACTCTCTGGATCTGGTGTATGTATTGCTGAATGTATTCAGCATTTCACCCTAATAAGACCGCTCAGTTTCTTAAAGAATGGAAACAGCTGTTGATTACCACCTGCTGGGGCTGTTGTCCTCAGGCAGCTGTCTTTCCATCATTCCAAACCCCACAGTGCTGCTAATTTTCCCTCTTCCACTCAGCAGAGCAATGGCTCACCTTTGATCAGGTCCATTCCTGAAGAGCCTGAATGATGTGAATCTTAATTTAGGTTATCCAAGCTCAGTGTTAATATCCCAGCTTTATTTGGATTGCCCAGGTGCCAAAAGGAAAAGAATAATGCTGAAACATCACACTTCTATAGATGCTTTTAAGAAACAGCTTCACACCCCATCTTTCTTGGCTTGTTCACCTGTCCCAAATGTAGTGCTGCAGTAAATGTGCTGGACAGGAGGCCTTGTCCAATGGCTCTGCACTTATGAGGGCTGGGAATCCTGCAAGGGGAGCTTTGCAAACACAGTCCCTGTACCCCAGGAACTTGTTGACAGGGTGATCTGCCATGGTAAGATGCCTGATCTTTCCTAACAGTGGAAGGCTCTGGCCATATAATTTTCTGTTTGAGTGGACAGAAAAAGAAGAGAGGAACACAGTGCTGGACACACTCCTGTACACACTTGTGTGTGTACAGAAGCAAGGAGAAGGCAGTATGAGTTGACAGAATACCTTTTATCCATATTATTACCATAATCCAAGTTTGACTTAAGCCCAAGAGAAATCCAGGTGCCCTTGCTGGGTTCCCTGTGCAGACAGAAACTCAACAGGCTTCTGTATTATCTTGCTTGGAGCTCACAGAAAAAAAATAAAGCTTTAGTTTTTCCTAAGCAGGTTGTCAAATTATTAATAAATGCACTCCCTCAACCCCCTGGAGCAAGCAGTACAGTCTGTGACACAAAGTACACTGGAGGTAACTGCAAGGCTCTCTGCTAGCAGCTCCTACTTTCAGGAGTTGGAGACCTCAGCTTTACAGCAGTCACATAACCAAGAGCAGAAAAACCTCTATATTTTATACTTGCATGCAGCTTTGGAAGAGGACTTCTGATTAAAATCTGTGCAATTGAAATGGTGACTTGACAAGGTACTGAAGTTGGCCATGCTAAGGGGTGCCTGCCATAAAAAATAGAAGATAATTACTTTAAGGTAGAACATTGAAAAAACCTTAGTAAGATGACATTAAGAGGCTCACCAATTGCTCTACTGTTGGAAGAGAGATAGAAAGTGCAGTACAGGACTGAAGGCAGCTGCAGAGTTAAAGGTTTTGAAGAGAAAAGGAGCTGCAGAGGTGCTGCATTGCCTCAGGTACAACAGCAGGATGAGCAAATCAAGTACAAAGGGCTGATAACTTTTCAGCCTCCACAATTTTCCCCTCTCAACCATCTCCTGCTGTGAGGTATACACTTAAAAGCCTGAAATTATTATTTTGCAGGCTTTTGTGAGAGGCCTATGTCATGAAGGATCCTCTCACCCCTGACAAGGACAAGTCCTCATCGTTGGGTCTCATTGCAGTTTGTGTAGCAGAGCAGTGTGTGTTGGTACAGTAAGTAACAAGCAAAACAAGCTGCTTCAATAATTTCTTTTTGTTCCAGTCCTGGTGACCTGTCAGAGAAAGATCAAACAGCAAAATCCCAAATAATCAGGTTTTAAGGCAAGCCATTCCCCCTAGTCCTACTACTATATGTATGTTATTGTACATAGTTGTTGCTAGTGGACACAAAGTATGAAGCAAGGGTTCTTATCCCACACAGCTGAGGTTTTATTTCATGAGGCAAAAAGCCTTTATTTTGGGGTTTTCAGCCCTTTTTGTAAGGTGTCCTGATACAGGTTAACCTGATTGGTACAAGGAACAACACCTCCCTTATCCCATTGGTGGGACAAGTGAAAAACACTCTCAGAACATCTGTGTCCTTATTTTGAGAACCGAAATCTTATTTACACAACAGTCCTTGAGAGAGAAAAAGTTTCCCAAAAGACTCCCTTGGGAAACAGCTCAGCCCCTGAGAGCCTAAAACTCTCTCAGGTTCAGAAAATCATGTCTACACATAATTGTATGTTCTTGTGGATTCTGCCAGATGAAGCTTTCAGTATTAAATTAAAATAATCAGCATCTGTGGGTTTTCTGTTTACAGGTGAGATCAGTCCAGCCTCTCAAGCACAAGGAGTGCTCTTTTCTACTTTCTTAGCACCAGGGAATGCAAGGGCAATATAGATGACACTGTAAGGGCAGTATGGATCCCATACAATAGTAGATTGGGTTTTTTTCTGTAAAGGGAATATAAATGTCTATGGATTGTTAGGTTTGCATTCACAGCACAGGGCTGTCATCCTATTTGCAAAAGTTAATGTTTAAAGTGAGCAGGAAGGAGATTTGTACCATGCCATGCTGCTCTCTGAAGAAAAATGAACTGAAGTAGCAGCTGAAAGGCAATCTTAAACTGTGAAATCTGAGTGCAGTCAAGAAAAGCGATATTAAATTATTTGTCTTAATTCCTTCTTCTCAGTGCAGAACTGGCCCCTTTGTTTGCTGTTAATCTCAAATTCTGGGAGTTGGGCAGACACAGCCAGAAGGATATTGGCACATTTGGCCCAGTTTAGTTGCTGTTCTGAACTGTGGGCGGTCAGCAGCAAGGATGGGCTAAGAGGAGCGTGCAGTAATGCCTTTCTCCTGATTGTGTTTATTTCCTCATTAAAGAAAGTTCTTACTCAGGTTTGTTAGGTATCCAATTCAGGAAAAAAAGATTTAATAATTGAATGGTGCAGCAGCAGGAACAGCTCAGGCTGCTTCCTCCAGGACGAGCCCAAACAAAGAAACCCCTGGGCTTTTATACCCCTACAGTCTGTGTGCCTATTCCCGTGGAGAATTTCTGGTTTGGGGTCTTCCTGCTGTTCACTGGCTCCTGCAGAGTCTCAGGGTGACCAGTCCTCTCCCAGACTGTGATGCAGGGCCCTGAGTCCTTTGTTAGGAAAAGGATCTGTGCCCATTCCTGGCTTGTGGCTGGAGGCTCCAGTTCCTTCCTACCATCCATGACACAATGTGTAGCTGGCATGGGGAGCTCGCACACCCGGCTACCTGCACTGGGAGAATTTCTCAACATCCTATCTCTGAAGTCTTTTCTGACTTTTAAATGACTGAAAATCACCAAAAGTGATTTCAGCTCAGAGGGTTTGGGGTTTTATTTTTTTCCTATTCTGAAGCTTCAAGACGGAGTTGTAGGCTCTGACTTGGTGAAGTGCCAGCACCCTCTGGTTGTGGCTGTGGCGGCTGGGCTCAAGTTTCCAGAGCCAGGTTGCTCAGGGCAATTGTGTGGAGGCAAAGCTCACATGATATGGGCAAGATCTTCCCTGCTGTCCCTGCTGTGGCAGGGGCTGACTCCCTCTCACACACAGCCCAATGAGGAGCCAGGTGCAGCTATTCAAAAAGTTTGGGCTTAGGGGCTTGATTCCTGCCCTGACATGCCATGTTTATCCTTCCTTTTTAACAGCAGAGGATTGGCAACACAGACACATTTAGGACAAACTTCAGCACAATTAACTATTTTCATTCCCAAGTGAAGTGTCTTGAATTTAGGAAGGATTCAGCAGGTATTTCCCAGTGTGGCAGTTTGAGCAATCAGAGATAGAGCATTTCAGCCTCTCAGGGTCTTTGCATTGTGCTTTTCTGAATGAAGGTGGGACTTTCTTTGAAAATATATGGTTTTTTCCAGTTAACCTAGGTCTTGGCAATAAATGGAAGAATGAATGAATGAATACTTGCTGTAAGCTAATGGAAGCTTCTAACCTTTTTGAAAGCCCTGCTTATTTTGCCTATTGTGGAAATTTGTCAATCATTTACTGCTGGTTATCTGAATTTTCAAGATTCCCTGATGGTAACACTCAAAGTAAAACATTGATTGTAAATAATTGAGAATAAATTTCTTACCTAACTGGCCAGGCCAGATAGTGAATCACACATATGACTATGGTTTCAAAATGAATTTAGCAATACTGCTTAGGTAACATTGAAAGAGATCTACAAAAATGATAATTAGTGCTTCAAACACCCACACCACAAAGTAAATAAACACATAGTATTCCTCTTTATGTAGGGAAAATTATAAGTCCAGAGAAGTAAAAACTTATCCAAGGCAATAGAGAGAGACAAAGTTAGGACAATATCTCCTTAGTGGTTGTGGTTCCTGCTTGTGCTTGACCCAAGTATATCAATTCACCCCTGAGCTGAGTTAAATGTCAAAACATAGGAATTGAAGCTGAAGAAAATCATATTTTCTTGGGCCTCTTGGCAAAGAAGCTGGACCAATTGGAAAGGTTTTAGTGACAGGCTTCTTTTAATATTGTGGTAATTCAGAATAGTATTAGGCTAATGTGTGGCAAAATTAAGACTTTTCTGACCTTGGATTTGGCAAAGGAATTTTAGATAGCTTTTGTACCTAAGGAGACTTGAGAGACAGATCAGATTTTAGGCTTTTCATGAGAAAACCCATGGTAGCTGAAGTGTATTTCCTTTCAGTTGCTGTGCCAATAAACTTGGCAGCTGTTCTGTATAGTGCTCATAAACTTAAACATCTCCAAATATCCTCTGAAGTTTCACTCAGTTAATTTACTTCAATCATTTTGTAGTCTGTATCACGCTGCTCAAGTCTTTTATCAGAGTGCCTTGGTAAGTGCCATTAATTCTGATCCAACTGGGAATAATTCCAATGATTATCTGTAATGTCTTAAAACATGTCAAAACCACACAAAAAGTAAGATAATAGACATGCTTTTAAAAGTCCTTGGCCAGGCTGAGTGCCCTTCCTCCTATTAACCTTTCAGAAAAGGGGAGAGGAAATGATATTATCTGACCATACTGGTAATTTAAAATAGTTACTTCTGTTTTATTGCAACACTTTCTAAAGACATGGAGAAAAGGTGACTTTTGGAGAAGAAAGGAGGAAATGGAGCAAGTTTCATCCCTTATTGCTCACCTTGGCAGAAGGTCATGGAGCACTGACCTTGGACATGTTTGTAAGTGTTAAGTGATAAATGTAATACTGCAGCTGCTTCCCACTCAGCTTCCAGTCATGCAGGGTCAGTTCTGGATATGGATGGGCAGAGCCTTTCCTTTCCTTTACATATTGTGGTAAAGATACTATATGTATATGTATATGTATATGTATATGTAGATGTATATGTATATGTATATGTATATGTATATTACTTTCAGACATGATTCATTCAGAACAGAAATAAATGATGGCAGCATGCTTTGGCAGTACTGTTTTGCCTGAATTGGACTATGAAATTTGAAATTGAAATGGCCCCTTCCTGTCTGGGTCATGGAAGGGAGAAAACAGATGAAAGAATTATCTGATTAAACACAGAACTCTACCAGGATAAGGGTTTTAAAAAAGGGCTCAACTCTAATAATAAGTTTAATTCATAGGGCATTGAAAGAATAGTTAGGCCGAAAATCCCAGGACTGAGAGAGTGGGACTACAGATACATGCTCAGGGTTGTTCATAAGTCATGATTTTGCCAGTTCCTGTTGGCTAAAATCTGCAGTAGGTAGCAACGCATTTCAGCCAAAAGAATGGAAGCTGAGCACCTGTGTTATCTGTGAGGGGCTGTCTTGACATCAGGGATCCCACCTGCAGGAACAGCCCCTCCCCTCCTTTGCCATGGCCCAGTGGCCACCACTGGGAGCCCTGAGCCTTGGAGCTGGGGGGCTGTGTGCCATTTGGAAATGCAAACAATGATAGCCTAAAACTCTAATCTCCCCTTTTAAACTGGCAGCTTAATGTATTAAGGATACCAAGAGACAAAAAACAATAGGCTCTGGAGGTTGTGCAACTGAAATCCACTTACAGGGCTTTTCAGAGGCTAGTGCCTCACACATTCCTGACCATGAAGAGGCCTGGCAGTCAACACAGAAAAGGACAATAGATGAAGAGAAGTTGTTCCTCAAGCTTCCAAGTCACATAGAAGCAGGCTGATTGTGATTTGGGTATAATTTTCAGCTGAATCTGCTGCTAAAGCCCAGATAGTGACATAAGAAACAAAACCAAGGAGAGGAACACAGGAATACGCAAGCCTAGCTCCCAGAGAAAGGCCAGCTGCAAATGACCATGGCAAGGGGAAAACTTTGCTATTTAGGTAAGACCCAGGGAATCCATTTCTCCCCAGAAGATGTCCAGTTCTATCTAAACTGATGTCTTTATTTATTCTTAAATACCCAAGAATAATCCATCAGTAACACCAGTTCCAGCTTACCCATGAAATCCTATTTAGAATTTGGTGATCAGCACATCAAGAGAACCAGGGATGTCAAGTCTCGTCGCAGAGCAAAGGAATAATACATTAATTAGTTTATCTTCCAGTTGTTCAAACTCTACATTGCAAATATATTAAAATATATTCCACCAGTTTTGCTTCTTTCTATTCAATTACTAGCATCTGGTTACAGCTCCTGGGGAAAAAAAAGAAATATTGGGGCTGTATGAGCAGTGAACAGAACAGGGATAGCAAAAATATCTTCTTTAGGCACAACAGCTTTTATACTTTGCTATCATGAGTTCAGAGGAGAGCCATTAGCTCAAGCTTTAGTACCAGGTGTGGTTTTAGGTTTTAACCAGTGAATACATTTATTAAGGGTAAGAGATGAAATATCATTTGAATTGTCTCAGATGAATGGAGTTCATTTAACTACTCTGGTTATTGGACACCTCTGTGATATTGATATAACTGTGATATTTTTTAGTTCCTAGGACAATACAAGTGCATGGATTAATGGAAGTAAGAATAGTTTTTTTGGGAGTTACAGACAAGATTGTCTGTCTTGAGAGCCCCCAGTACTTGGTACTTGTGTTGGCCTTTAGTCCATTTCTGTGGAGACTGGTGAGGGAGACTGTGCTGAGGCTCCAAGTCTCACACGTCATTGCAGGAATTTGGAAGATCCTCCCAGGTGGTAGAAACCTTCATCAGCAAAGACTTAAAGGAAAACTTTGCTGTTTCAGTAAAACCCATGGAATCTCTTACACCTTTATTCACTCTCCAAGTATAATCCATCAGCAATGCCAGCTGCAGCTTACCCATGAAATCCTATTTGGAATTCAGTGAGCCAGGAAACCCATGCATGGTGCTGGAAGGAGAAGGCAGCTGAAGGAGGGGTGCTGCTATTCCCTGGAGCAGGGAGCTGGTGAAGGTCAATTTGTTGATTTGGGGGTTTTATTTTTCACCCAGTTGGCTCTAACCAGATGTTAGAATTATTGAGTAAGAAAAAGTTAAATTGCTGGAATATTTCAGCCTAGACAAAGAATAATTAATTTTAGAAAAATTCTAAATATAAATGTAGTTTAATGAGAACGGAACGTAAGCATTTCCATTTTGTGTATCCTGCTAGTAATGTTATTTTCTTGCCAGGACTGTAGTCTGTTCTACTCCAAAAATTTCTGTCTCCCCTGCGTGAAGGAAAACCTAAAGCCCTTTCCTTTGGAAATACAAGACATGGATAAAAGGAAGCCCCAGCAGAAATCCTGCAAAAAAAAAATGGATACAAAGCATAAATCTTGAAGGACCAAGAGAGACATTTCTTTGGCTGGGGTTTCCCCTCTCTCTGCCTGGAGACTATCAGGTTGCTCCTTTTAAAGAAGTGACCTTCATCAGCTCACTACTAGAGAGAGCAGCACATTTCCTTGCCCTTGGCTTGGGTTCAGATATCCCCGTGCAGCGCCAGCCACACCAGGGAGCAGCTCTGAGGTGCTGAGGAGCCAGAAAGGAAGGCAGATGACCCTTCTGTCACAATGTGAAATGCTTTCAGTAAGAAACCAGACTGCGCAGAGCATAGGAACCATGTCCAGATTTTCACATTTGCTATTTTTGTGCTTTGTGTTGTTCTTGACACTCCTACAGTGTTATGAAATTCTGAAACAGATTTATCTATCTTAATTCAGTATATACCCAAAAAGTCAGTGTACACCAATTGTTAATCTGGCAGTGCTGTCCTGGTAAGATTACATTAGTCAGGGAATTTAAGGCTTTTTTTTTTTTAAGTCTAAAATAAAAGTGCTGTGAGAAAATGTCATAAATATAATACCTAAATTTTTATATAATTTTAATAATAATTTTTAATTTAATAATTTTAATTTAACAATTTTAATGCTATCACAGCATTGAGACTTGAGACTCTGAACGTTGGTGCTTCTTTAATCAATAAAAGTATTTACAAGTCCCTTTCACTTGCAGTCACTTTTCACTTAACCTTCCAGTCCATTTCAGCACAGCAACTGGAGAGGACTCCAAATACATTTGGCTCATGCTTTACAATAAAGATGACTTCCCTTGCACTTTCAAAGCAGTTAATGTGGAAATAGAAGAGTTCCATTAATACACTCAATTTTTTCCTGAACCGGACAAATAAACTGTAGCTGTAAAAGGGATGTCAGAAACACAGTTTCAGGCAAAAAAGGCAAAACATTCTTATGAAAACAGCAGTTTGTTTAGCTCAAAAATCAGTTATCTGATGAAGTTACTTCTTCAGTTATCTGTTTTGACTGTCTTAAGATTTAGGTGGCTTTTATGTAAAACCAGAATCACATGCCTTAAGGATACATCTAGAACACTCCCTAACCACAAAATCATCTTTTTTTACTCAAATTATTGTTAGTCATTGCTTCAGAACCTTCAGTGCCTTGGTTAACATCTCCTTTTTCCAACTCTGCCATCCATATAATTTGTAATAGGACAACATCAAAAATTGATCATTTCAGTAGAATGAACATGTGTCCCTTAAAAGAAATCAACATGATTTCAAAGAGATGTTTAGGACATTTAAGTATGCTAAAATCTTTCTTTTTTCTGAATTTAGCATACTGGTGCCCTCTGTTCAGGACTGGAATTTCTTGCAGTGACTGGAGGAGCAAAAATGGACCTGTTAGTAACGTTTTCAAGTCTTAAGTGCTTTAATAAATAAAATGTTTGTGTGTTTCTAATTGTGGAAGAAAAGATCCCTGTTAGGAGGCAACATTTCAGATTCTTTTTTTGTAGTTACAAAAGACTACATTTTCAGGGAAAGCGATACTAAACCTATATAAGATGGGTGGTATTATATTTCAGTTACATGTTAGGAACACTGTTTAAAAGCTGTGGTGTGTCTGTTCTGTATAAACACCAGAGGCATGTCCTGTGCTACACCAACAACTGAAGAGAGCACTTTTCCACCTTGGAAATACAGTCTTATAATCAAGCTGCCAAAGCAACATGGTTATGTAAGATCACAGGATATGTTTATACCAGCAAACATACCTTGAAATATTTTATTTCTTGGATTTCCCATTGCTCCTGACAGATTGTACTCTTAAAAGCAGGTTTTAAAAGCCTGCGTAGTGCAGTTCCCGTGTGAGAATGGAATCTCATCTCTCTGATGTTTTCCCTCTGTTCAGCTTCCTCTGTGCCCTTTTAAGACAAATGCAGTTATCTCATTTATTCATAACCATTATCTTTGCCTTTACAATGTGACTGAAGAGTCATTTAAAGCCCTCAGAAATTGCCTTGCCTTTAGGTACTTGTTATGTTGAAATGGAGGGAGAAAAAACTCAGTATTAAAAGGGACCAGAACCTCAGAACAGAACTACAGAATATTTAATGGCTCAATACAGCTCAGTTATTTATTGTAGAGCAGGAAGAACCAAGTCAGGGATGCCTCTGCTTCAGAGTTACCTGGTTGTGAAGACCTGGTAGGTGCAGTAAAGTCAGCAGGTACCACAGAGAGACAGCAGACGTGTTCTGGCATCTCTGGTCTATGCTTTAGGGAAAGGAGATAGCCCTACATGCCACTTGGTACTTCCTGGAATGACAATGGATTATTATCTGTGCCCAGCTGTTAGAACTCATATATTCCACATTCTTGTATTCCCACTGAACATGAGCATTATGGTCTGAGTATCATCATATTTTAATATGTATGTGATTTGACAGCCTGAATGATACCATGCCCAACCTTTCCTGCTCTTCATGGATGCACAGCCTTTACAGGTTGTTTTCACTGGGGTCTCTAAGGACTTTCAACATCAGGTCTTCCATGCTCCTGAGCACAGCTGATGAAGAAACCTGAGTCTTTTTCCTCTGTAGTTTTCACTTCAGCACTCTCTTACCAGCTTAAAATATCCCCAGATTCTGGAAAGGAAAACAGCTACCTGTGACGTATTTCCCTGACTGGTTTAATTGAAGATATCCTCATTGAATTAGTCAGTGCTGCACTTCACACAGAAGTTTACTTTTTACTTGTTGAATTCCATGGATGTTTCAAACCAGCCATACAACCCATGAGAATATGAAAGATCACAGCTGGATGGTGGGTCAGCACCAAACTTAGGTAATATATATATATATATAGATAAATCCACATGAAATGTTTCTGAGTATGTTACACACCCACTCCTGCTTCAAAAGGTGTCTAACAATACTCAGGGAAGCATCAGTACTTTAAGGTGCTTCAAATATGCTGCCTTTTGAATGTCACATTGCAGTGAGTTCCTTTCCTGGAGATAAAAGATCAGCACAAATCATTAAATTCACTTTTAAAAATACTTTATTTTTTTAAAACCATTAAGGCAAAACTGTTTCAAATTAAGTTGGTTTACATTCAGTCTGAAAGGATTAAAGCACATAGCTTCCTACCAGTCTTTATACAAACACTGTGAATTCAACCTTTTATTTTTAAAGAAGGCAGAAGAAAATCAGAATGTAAAAAAGAAAAAAAAATATTTAGTTCAAGTTTTTTCATCCTAGATCAGTAGGCTGGTAACGCTTGAGAATGCATCGTTGTATGTAGCTATGTGCGACTTAAAACATTCACAAGTGCAAGATATGTTGTCTTTCCTAAAAATCCCTGCAAGACCAGGGCATCCATTTGTCCTTGAAAGTGTCATTTGCATTGTTCTAACAGAAAAACACTTGGGAACTTGGCTTGAATTAGTGGTTTTTACTGGGAAACAAGCATTCCATGAGAATTAGGTTTGACTACTCCTTGAAAGAAATGTCTGCTCGTTCTACATTCTCTATTTACTGTAGTAAAATGTACCCAAAACCTCTTAAAAACAGATGCCTGGAAACAATAAGCTGTTTTGTTTTCTCTTTAATATTGATATCTTGATTTAATGAAACACTTATTAGCTCTATTGATTAGGGTTTGGCAACATTAACACCACTGTGCTTTTTTTGTGTCCTATCAGATAACAGACCATTTAAGACATAAGGGAGGGCTTCAACATCCCAGGTCACTTAAGCTGTGGTGCTGCATTCCTAGAGAAAATTCTGAGCAACTGTTTGTAAGAGCTGTGAAACAGCAGGAGCTGCACAGGAGGCAGCTCCCCCGAGAAGCTGCTAAACCAGACTTCGTCCAGCCACTCAGAGGAGGGTCTGGATCACATCAATTGCACTGAAATGTTGGTTAGACTCGTTATTACTAAGATGTAACTAAACCATGCACATTCCTCCTCTGCCAAAGGCCCAAGGTACTGTGACTGCATGGAGAGAGCTGCTGTGTGTGTGGGGATGAGCCATGTGAGCCCCTGGATGGGCTGGGGTGAGCAGGCATGGCTGTTTGTGGGGTGGTGACCTGCTCCCAGCTCTGCAGCACATCCCACACAGGCTGCCTGGTGACACTGCACTCCTACACACCTGCAGTACAACCCAGGACTGATGTGCTGCTGGGATTTCAGTGGCTCAGGACTTCCCCAAGAGAAGATCCTGCCAATCTTTTTTCTTTCAAGTGGAAAGAATGCCATGAAACTCCTGGCATTGAGCATAAGGCTGGTGTCTTTACCATGACAGGGATTACCTGCATATCCAACCTGAGAAAATACACCAAAATACTACTAGTACTGCAAGTAGTGGCACCAAAATACTACTAGTACTTCAAGTAGTGAAACTATTTTAAGTACCTTATGCTTGATCTTGCAGTCCTTATTTAAGGTCCAGCCTGTAATCAGATCAGTCTCTTGTGCATGTTGCCTATCCCCTGGCAGAGGCAGCTCATCTGAAATTGAGGTCCTTGCAACAGGAATTCTGTTTCAAAACATCCACAGCAATGGAATCTGACAAGATTGACTGATGCAATAAAGGAGCTCAAGATAAAAACCACTCCAGCTTCAGAAGCAGAAAAAGATTTTAAAAACCTGCGAGCACAATAGAAAAAAGGAGGAAACAGCCTTCCTTAGGATGGGCTCAGTTACACAGATGGTTTGTGTCATGTGAAGTGACAATGTAAAGGAAGTCGCTTCAGGTTAGCACAGGGAAGTCCAGCAGAGCTTTTGCAAACATGACACAAACACCTTAGGAGGCAACATACCTGTGTGGTGACACTGATGAAGTGAAAATGCCAAGTTGCAGCAATTTGAGGAAATAAAATGTTACATGTTACAAATGAAAAGCAGTAACTACAAATGATAGCTAGAACATTTGTAATAGATTGTGCTTGTGATAGCTACTGTGTTTGGTGATTCACACAGCAGAATAAAAGGTAGATACCTTTGTCCCTATATCAGATTTCCTTAGCAGGATGCTGTAGGCAC